CATGATTCTCACATGGAACTGGTTTATCAAAATGTTAGATACCAGCGACGAGTTTTTACCGAAAATATGTCTTCTACAATTATTCAAACTTGCTAATAATCCGTCATGTGATAAGACCTATAATTGGGCCTTAAAATTTAAGAATTTTCTTGAGGTAACCGGAGCGTCAGAACTTTGGTATTGTTTTGATAGCACCCGGTGGAAGGAGAGGACCCCAATAGTCTTTGAACGCTTCAAGAGGCATCTCCTTCAGTGTGACCTTGATCGTGCTCTCCAGTCTGTTTCATGTCAGTTCAAAATCCCACATAACCTGCCCACTATCGATAAGCCAACAAATTACTTGACCCAGAATCACCCTCTACACGTAAAACGCACTCTTGCCCAGATACTACTTGCCAATAATTTTTTCTGTAGTTTTTATTTAGGTAAAAGTAATAAAGTGATATTCGATCTTAAGAAGCTATGTAACTCTTGCGAACTGAGGGAGTGTGACAATTTAGAACATCTACTTTTAAGATGTCCGAAATTCAGTAGCCAAAGAAACAAATTTGCTAGTAGTTTAAGTTCTTGTTTACCTGATAGAGACTGTTGCCACGAGTTCCTGAGTAATTGTAATTTCTCGGAGAGTAAAGCTTTATATAATTTTTTTGTTGATTGTTTACGACTTAAAAATCTGTAATTACAAAGCCTGTTTTTACCGTATACTTTCCACTTATAATTCCTCACTCGATATTTTCAGTATTTATGTGAGTTAAAGCAACTCTACTACTTTTTATGTTTTTGTATTATACGCTGGCCCTTCTTTCCTATTTCACCTATATCACCTTACGATACGCAGTACAAATTAATGTAATCCACTATGTAATCGAAGTCAGCCCCCATGCTATGGGACCTTGTATCCTTAATGCATTAAATAAATAATAATAAAATAATAATAATAATAAATTTGGGTTGACCTAAAGGTCAACCCAAGGTTAATAAATAGTTCAACTTATCATCCTGGCCTTTGTTGAAATCGGGATGACCAGTTCCTCCAGTTGATTACAGGTGATAGCAGCTGCAAATACTGCTGATTTGTAGTCATTTCTTTGATCATTAAGAACTCTCAGGTATTTTCCTGATCGAAAAATCACTTGATTAACAAGTCGTTGCGTAAATCTCTTCCTTTGACAAATATTGAGTGAGAGTCCATTTTCAGTGCTGTGAGAGTGGTACAGATTATCATTCTCGGAGAATACTGCGTCAATCGAGAGGTCCTTAATTTGGTGCCAGGAGTCGTCCACAATTGCTCGCCAGTCTTTACACACTATAACGCAAAAAATGAATAGGTCAAATATTAGTTAAGAATATACACCATAGTTCAGGATATGGAAGGACCTTCTATAGTTTCTTGTGTAGTACGCAATGATGATTCAAGAAAATAAATGTGAGGTGTTTGCATAAAAAATGAGTAATGATCAGCCTCACTGAAATTCCGTTGTAATAAAGTTTCTAACTTTTTCACACTTTTATTTTTAATCTGCTTATGAATATGGATTTTTTTATCATTTCTGAATCAAGACAATAGAAAGGCGAAAAACACTCCACTGCATTTTGTCAAATACATTTAGTAGTTAGAGGAACGGTTCAAATTCCTTATTACTAAATAAATATTTTTTGAAAAGGTAACCTATGGTATTATTGCCAAAAAATATTTGAACAGCTTAAAACGGATGATGAAATGTTGCGATTTATGTGATATTATGTGAGTTTGACTCAGTCAACTGGTCGCATGATATAACGCGGATCAAACGAGGTAATACAGTGGCAATAAGTCATACTAATTATAGAATACGTTTTGCATCATTTCTGTCTTGTACAAATTTAAAAAAAACCTACCCAAGCTCATATCTGGAGCAAAGTTGGTGAATTTAAAATGAACACTAATTAAAATTTACTGATATTTTTTTAATATTAGTTTTCTTAAATTTTTGTAACGCAAGAGTTAATTAATCAATTGAGGTGCTTGGGTCCATCACAAATGGAAATAATTTCAATAGAGAAGGCAATTATCCTAGAGGATAGTGGGGCAAAGTCGAATCGTGGGAAAAAGTGGAGGAATCATGTATGTCCTTTTTTTTTATCGCGACGCAGGAGGTAATGGCTAATATTGGATGTTAGCTGGTGATTCCGACGTATTCCTCAGCTTCACCTTCCTCTACCTCTTAAAAAATTGAATAACTCATCAACATTTTAAATGAAATAAACAAAACAACAACAAAAGTCCGTTCTACCCCACTCGGCCCTATACGCGAAACGTCCGAAAATTATTCAATAGTCCAGATACGTCTGATTAGAAAAGGATTAAGGAGGATTACATGATTACTTTTATTTAAAGAAAAATTGAAATACGCACCTCTTCTAGATTGCATTCTATCCTTCAAAGACAAAAAACGTAGAACGTGTTTTAACCACATGTGCGGTAGATCACACATTGCAATAGAACTTGATTTAGCTATTCGAGTTGAATATTCGAAAAGAGCTACTAATCGCACTGTATACTGTGGTGAGATGTGAATTGGACAGCGTACGAACAGATACTGATGAAATTGACGGGGGAATGCATAGTAAGACCTAAACCTGGTAAACATCGTGGGCGCGGGAGTAGAAGACATCAGCCAATGGGCGGACGCTCGTGCAGGAGGAGGGGATGGAACAGAACGAATCGCTTCATTACTCTATTTCCTCTTTGAGACGGAGGAAATGGCGGTAATACAAGAAATTGCGTTACCTTCTCTTCGAACATACAAAACACGAAATTCGATTTATGTAATAGAAAAAATCGAATTTGTATTGCATGATTGCTATACGAAACTTTTCATAACACAAAAATGATAAACTCAATAATCTTCGATTGGTATAGGTATAGCTCCAAGGGATTAAGTCCTAATGTAGCGCCTCGCTACATCCTAACTGAGGAGACAGTCTGACGTCACCCTCAGACATTTAATATTTCGTTGCTGTCCTCTCACGGATATACCAACACAATAATAGAGGATTACATTTCGCGCCTCTACCGAATTATTCTATCGCGGCGTCCTATCGTACAGGAGCCGTTGGCAGTTGATCGGCATCCATTGTATCGAGCGCAACTGAGTATCAAATCAATATTCATTGTACTTGTTGAGACTGACGCTTCGATGAATGAATATATTATTGAATTGTTTATTCGTTTAGTAGTGATTTGTTACTCCCGACCATCGCAAATCCTACATTGGTGACCCCGACGTGATTTTCGCGTTTAATTAATTAATTAATTCAAAGGGAGTGCGGCAGTGCAACAAGTGCCTCGCGAGTGCGCGTGCCTTTACAACGGAATTTTTTTTTCTCATATCTCGCGCGTTTATTTTACTCTGTTACCGGTTGTTAACGTCGCGAGCATTTTTACCAGGCAGCGGCTGTCGTCGCGAGTGCATAAAATTAATCTAAATTTGCAAATTAACACATAACATTTTTCGCGCGTGGCTTTATTTTTCAATGCCCAATATGGCGTCGTGGGGGGTCTCGATTTAGCGTCGTTGAGTCGGTGGAAAATCGATTCTCGGCGTCTTCCTCATCGTTATACGCCCCGCCCATAACGCGCGCGCACACCCTTTCGGGTAATTGCGTTTACCCTCAATGATGTTCGCGATGATATTTTCCGCTCTACCTGTTCTCCCGCGTTTTCTCTCGCGGCAAGTGAGTGAACAAGTAGGGATACTTGAGGGTTGGTCGTCCGTCTCTCTCTATCTCGCTGGCACATTGCGGAGCACCCTATAGACGCTGTGCTGTGCTGGTGTATGTGAAGACTTTAACGACTTCGCAAGAGTGACAACACGTGCTAATTTTTTTTTTTTTTGATTGAGATAATTAATCATTTTGTTAAATTTATCGATTACCGCGATTTTTTTTCGGTAAATAATTGTCAAGTGATTTCCGTGGTTCATGATGCCGGGTGTCCAGGAGCTCGCCACAGACAACGCATTTTTAGCAGCTGCAGCCGTGATGCAACCTAAGCTCGTCGCAAGGCCATTCAATCCTGATAGACCTCAGCTGTGGTTTGCTCAACTGGAGACCCAGTTTACCGATCTTGGAATAGTGACGGTGATCCATAAGTATAATAAAACTGTTCCGCTAATTGATATGGTCTATGCAGCAGAGGTCGAGGATCTCATTATTGCTAGACCAGTTAATANATGAATGAATATATTATTGAATTGTTTATTCGTTTAGTAGTGATTTGTTACTCCCGACCATCGCAAATCCTACATTGGTGACCCCGACGTGATTTTCGCGTTTAATTAATTAATTAATTCAAAGGGAGTGCGGCAGTGCAACAAGTGCCTCGCGAGTGCGCGTGCCTTTACAACGGAATTTTTTTTTCTCATATCTCGCGCGTTTATTTTACTCTGTTACCGGTTGTTAACGTCGCGAGCATTTTTACCAGGCAGCGGCTGTCGTCGCGAGTGCATAAAATTAATCTAAATTTGCAAATTAACACATAACATTTTTCGCGCGTGGCTTTATTTTTCAATGCCCAATATGGCGTCGTGGGGGGTCTCGATTTAGCGTCGTTGAGTCGGTGGAAAATCGATTCTCGGCGTCTTCCTCATCGTTATACGCCCCGCCCATAACGCGCGCGCACACCCTTTCGGGTAATTGCGTTTACCCTCAATGATGTTCGCGATGATATTTTCCGCTCTACCTGTTCTCCCGCGTTTTCTCTCGCGGCAAGTGAGTGAACAAGTAGGGATACTTGAGGGTTGGTCGTCCGTCTCTCTCTATCTCGCTGGCACATTGCGGAGCACCCTATAGACGCTGTGCTGTGCTGGTGTATGTGAAGACTTTAACGACTTCGCAAGAGTGACAACACGTGCTAATTTTTTTTTTTTTGATTGAGATAATTAATCATTTTGTTAAATTTATCGATTACCGCGATTTTTTTTCGGTAAATAATTGTCAAGTGATTTCCGTGGTTCATGATGCCGGGTGTCCAGGAGCTCGCCACAGACAACGCATTTTTAGCAGCTGCAGCCGTGATGCAACCTAAGCTCGTCGCAAGGCCATTCAATCCTGATAGACCTCAGCTGTGGTTTGCTCAACTGGAGACCCAGTTTACCGATCTTGGAATAGTGACGGTGATCCATAAGTATAATAAAACTGTTCCGCTAATTGATATGGTCTATGCAGCAGAGGTCGAGGATCTCATTATTGCTAGACCAGTTAATACCCCATTCCAAATATTGAAGAATGAATTAATTCGATGTTTTACCACATCAAGGTCAATGAATTTATTACGACTGCTGGACAATGAGAATCTTGGAGATCGTACACCCTCGAAGCATCTTAGGCATTTAAAGGCTCTGGTTCCAGGTATCGATGAGGAGGTCTTAAAGACACGCTGGCTGTCTCACCTTCCGGAGCAGACTAGAGCGACGCTTGCTGCCCAGGATGACGCTTCGTTGGAGAACCTGGCGAAACTGGCTGATGGGGTCCATGAGGTCTTTCAACCTCCTCAGACTGCAGCTATTTCGGCCTCGTCGGGTAATGTGGTCAACTCTGCGCTTCGTGATGAGCTGGAGAGTTTGAAGGCTACATTCGCTGCGATGTAGCTGCGTGAGTCGCGTTCTCGCTCAAGATGGTCACCCAATGGTCGCAACAATTCTCGCAGACGCTCCAATTCTCGAAAGGTATTAAACAACTCCAACGCTTGCTGGTATCATTTCAGATTTAGTGACAGGGCACGAAAGTGCCTTCCGGGTTGTCAGTACCAGGGAAATTCCAGGGAGAGTCGTTAGCGATGGAACGCAGCTCTTTATTAACATCCCGTCGCCTCTTTGTCACCGACAGGTCCACCAAGGCACAGTACCTAGTGAATACCGGTTCCGATGTTTCAGTGTGTCCTCGCCGGGTGCACTCTCGGAAAAAGGACGCGTCTGGTTATCAGCTGTTCGCAACCAACCACACTCTGATCAATACTTCTGGCTACATACTGATCCTGCTCGATCTTGACCTACGCAAGGAAATCAAGTGGCGTTTTGTTGAAGCTGACGTTTCGAGGTACATTACTGGCGCTGACCTGCTGCATCATTACGGTCTTCTGCCTGACCTCAAGAATCAACGACTTATTGATAGCACCACTGGTCTCTCAACAGATGGACAGCTGGTTAAATTCGACTCGTTCTCAGTCAGACTCCAGACGATTGAAGAGGATTCATCTTACGTAGCCCTACTGAAGAAATTTCCTGCCATAACGAAGCCGGAGGGACTCCTTCGAAACACCAAGCATATGACGCAACACCACATTAGGACTACTCCCGGCCCACCAGTATCGGCCAGACCAAGACGTTCGCTACCAAATAAGCTCGCTATAGCAAAGGCTGAGTTTTCGAATATGCAGAAGCTCGGCATCGCTAGGCGCGGTCAGGGACCATGGTCTTCGGCTCTTCATTTGGCTCCTAAGAAAAACGGAGAATGGAGACCGTGTGGTGATTACCGGGGCCTGAATGATCAGACGATCCCGGACAAGTATCCCGTTCACTATCTTGAGGATTTCGCCGCAAATATTTACGGATCCACGATATTTTCGACTATTGATCTCGTGAAGGCGTTTAATCCAGTTCCGATAGCAGCTGAAGACATCCAGAAAACGGCCATAATAACTCCTTTTGGGCTATTCGAGTTCCCGTTCATGACTTTCGGTCTGCGCAACGCTGCTCAGACGTTTCAGCGTTTAATCGATGAAGTCACAAGGGATCTGCCGTTTCTATTTCCGTATATCGACGATATTCTCGTCGCCTCTGAGACACCTGAGCAACATCTAGATCATCTGAGGCAACTGTTCCAACGTTTGGAGGATTTCGGTCTGGTGGTAAATGTAGCGAAGTCTGTCCTTGGCAAACCGGAGGTGGTTTTCCTTGGGCATACCATCAACGCACAAGGGATCAAGCCCCCTGCGGACCGGGTAAGAGCGATTCTCGAATATCCAATACCTTCTAACGTTAAGTCTCTTCGCAGATTTCTTGGTGCTCTCAATTTTTACAGAAAGTTTATTAAAGGGGCTGCAGAAATTCTCGCTCCTCTCAACGCAGCACACAGGGGACCTGCCGTTAAACGAAAGCATCCGGTGGATTGGACACCGGAGATGGAGACTGCTTTCGATGCAAGCAAAAGGGCACTGGCTGAAGCCACTCATCTGTCACATCCGAACGTGCACGCTGAGTCGGCTGTGTTCACCAACGCATCGGATCAGGCAATTGGCACTGTCCTTCAATAACGACATCAGGATGGTTGGCAGCCACTCGCCTTCTTCAGCAAGAAGCTTGCTCTCTCCGAACGTCATCATGCGACTTACGATCGAGAGTTAGAAGCGATTAACGAGCCGATCATCCATTTTCGGCACATTTTCGAGGGGAAACATATTACGATCTACACGGATCACAAACCCTTGACGCACGCTTTCCATCAGAAACCGGATAAGGCAACACCCTGGCAGTGTAGAAGACTGGGTTTCATTGGCCAGTTTACGTCTGATATCGTACACGTGGCTGGCAATGATAACGTGGTAGCTGACGCTTTGTCTCGTATCGAGGCAGTGTCCCAGGCGATCGACAATCAACTACTCGCTCAATCACAGCGAGAAGATCCTGAACTNACCAACCACACTCTGATCAATACTTCTGGCTACATACTGATCCTGCTCGATCTTGACCTACGCAAGGAAATCAAGTGGCGTTTTGTTGAAGCTGACGTTTCGAGGTNTATTCGCTCGTGCACCCCGGAGGAAAAGGAACTCGGAAGCGTATCGCCGATCGTTTCGTTTGGCCAGGTATGAGTAAGGACTGTTTGGATTGGACTCGTCATTGCCTGTCGTGTCAGAAAAATAAAGTATCGAGGCATGTCGCAGCACCTCTCGCGGAGATTGCTTTACCGTCCCAAAGATTCGAGCATATTTATGTCGACTTGGTTACTTTACCGTTGTCGAAAGTGTTCAAGAACTGTCTCACAATTATAGACAGCTTTACACGGGATCCAGAGGTGGTGCTACTACCGGACATCAGGACAGGAACAGTAGTTCGTGCACTTCTCTATCACTGGATCGCGAGGTTTGGAGTACNGCTACCTTGAGGATTTCGCCGCAAATCTTTACGAATCCACGATATTTTCGACTATCGATCTCGTGAAGGCGTTTAATCCAGTTCCGGTAGCAGCTGAAGACATCCAGAAAACGGCCATAATAACTCCTTTTGGGTTATTCGAGTTCCCGTTCATGACTTTCGGTCTGCGCAACGCTGCTCAGACGTTTCAGCGTTTAATCGATGAAGTCACAAGGGATTTGCCGTTTCTATTTCCATATATCGACGAGATTCTCGTCGCCTCTGANGAGGCCAGTTTATTGCGGACATTTACCGACGTCTGACAGAGATGTTGGGAATTCGACGCAAGCTTACTACGCCAATTCATCCCCAGGCTAACGCACTCGTGGAGAGACTGCATCGCCAGTTGAAAGCTGCACTTCGCTGCCACGGCGATAGCTGGTATGATGTTTTGCCGTTGGTTTCGTTAGGACTCCGCACCGCTTGGAAACCTGATGTTGAAAGCACACCTGCTGAGCTCACCTACGGAGAAGCAATTCGGCTCCCAGGTGAATTGTTTACACCAACGAANTTGCCGTTTCTATTTCCATATATCGACGAGATTCTCGTCGCCTCTGAGACACCTGAGCAACATCTAGATCATCTGAGGCAACTGTTTCAACGTTTGGAGGATTTCGGGCTGGTGGTAAATGTAGCGAAGTCTGTCCTTGGCAAACCGGAGGTGGTTTTCCTTGGGCATACCATCAACGCACAGGGGATCAAGCCCCCTGCGGACCGGGTAAGAGCGATTCTCGAATATCCAAAACCGGCTAACGTTAAGTCTCTTCGCAGATTTCTTGGTGCTCTCAATTTTTACAGAAAGTTTATTAAAGGGGCTGCAGAAATTCTCGCTCCTCTCAACGTAGCACACAGGGGACCTGCCGTTAAAGGAAAGCATCCGGTGNAAAGTTTTGAGGGATCACCGTAGACATTTCGCGGCGGTAGCACCCACTGAGATGTCTCGTCCCGGAACCAAGCCAACTTTCGTCCACAAGAGCCTTGCCGATTGCACGCATGTTTTCATCAGGACAGAGACTGGAGGACCGAATACCGCAGCTCCATACTCTGGACCATATCGAGTCGTCAGCAGGCACGATAGACATTTTGTTGTCCGCTGTAGGTCACTAGGGAGAGGCAACTATCTTCAAGACGTTCCTATCTCTATCGACCGCCTCAAACCTGCGTTCATTCTTCCCGAGGACATGGAACAGGTTCGGCAGCTTCCTGCAGAAGCTTGTCCACGACATCAACAGCGGCAACAACAGCAAGCAAGAGCAGGCACGGCAGTAGGAACCTCTGGCCAGCCCAGGAGGGTCACTTTTAACGACCGATTGGAAACACGGACTTACGACCCCAGGCAACCTCCGGACTCGAGCATTACGACACCCAGGAGACAGCAGAGAATTTCTACACTATCCTGTCGTTGATCAAATTTAATTTTTCTGTATTTTTTTGTTTGTTCTCTAAAAAACTACGTTAGTAGATGAGTAATGCGGGTTCTGGGGCAAGGGTCTGGCGGAGACCTGGTCAGAGTGCCCCCGCGAGTGGGTCGGGTGGGTGAACGGGTTAATGAATCCGCGGGTCGCAGTGTAATTCGCGGTCTGATCCGCGGGTCGCGGTTTAATTCGCGGTTTAATTCGCAGATTGATGAATTCATTTGCAATTTTTTGATTGAAAGGAGTTTCCTTGGCAACGTATTCAACCCACCCCGCGAGAAGGTGGGTGAAAAGGTTGATTAATTCGCGGGTCGCGGTTTGATTCGCAGATTAATCTTTTAATTCACCCTTTGGGTACTAGAGAGAGTCACCCACCGAATAATTAATCGTTCCGAGTAAGGGGGTGGGTGGGTGAAAGGGTTAATTAATTCGCGGGCTAATTAATTGATTAATTAATTAACATATTATTGGACTTCAGTGGAAACTATTCACGACTGAATCATTCCACCCCGCG